TATATAATGTGACTATAAACTAATTATTATATATGTTAATCGTTGCTACATCAATGAACCGAAGAAAAATATGAATATTGTGATTGAAACATTACTTTTAATGCCCATTTCTGACCTGAAAAAAAATTGTTGCAGGATTTTTGTATTTATTAATTGAAATATATTAATAAATTGTAGTTATAGGTCACAATGTTTATATCGATCTATTAATTATTTAGTAATTAACTAATTTAACATATTAATTAAGATATATTAATTAAGATATATTAATTAAGATATTCGCAAGTTCGTATGAAAATTATTTACAAAATTGCAGTCTATTTATACGGCATTTCGACGGATATTTGTCACCTCATGTGGACCATCCTGAGCTATGCTTACCAAAAATTCGGTAATCTTGCGACAACATTAGCATTTGCTTTTGTTTTGTTTTACATTTACATCCAATGTGAATCAAATAAATAACATTTTTATTTAAAAGCAGGTTTTGCATGGACATAATTTTATTTAATATGCTGATTATTATTATCTCAGTAATCAAACTGTCGTACAATCATTATTATTATTATTATTATTATTATTATTATTATTATTATTATTGTTTGTTTATTTTTTGTTTTATGTATATGCCTAGGCCTATACAATATAAAATGTATATATTTAATAATTTAATTAGAAATAATTATGGTTATTAATTTTAAAATGAATATAATATAATGTTAATAATATAGGCTAAGCTAGTCCTAATCAATTGATATAATAAAGCCAAATATTTAGAACATCATTAATACAACACCTTCATGACAGTCCAGCCCTCCAAATCTTGTTTTAATAACTAATTGAATTCACTTGCTATATTTTGTACTTCATTATTATTATTATTATTATTATTATTATTATTTATTATCTGTATTATTATTATTATTATTATTATTATTTATTATCTGTATTATTATTATTATTATTATTACTATTTATTATCTGTATTATTATTATTATTATTATTATTATTATTATTATTACTATTATTATTTTCAATGCTATATTTTGATCTTCCATCATTATTATTATCATTATTATTATTTATTTTATTATTATTTATTAATTATTATTATCTGTATTATTATAATTATTATTATTATTAATATTATTTTCAATGCTATATTTTCATTTTCATTCATTATTATTATCATTATTATTTCAGTATTATTATTATGTATTATATTACTATGTGTATTATTATTATTATTTCAGTATTATTATTATTTTTATTATGTCTTCACCATTTCATTCACCAACCCAACATATTATTTTTGAAAAATAAATTGTATGAAAATAACAACTAATGATTATGCTGTACTTCTATTGAAATTTGTGTGTATGTTGTAATAATTTATAATATTTTCTGTTATGGTGAGTGTAGTACAATATTTATCACAAAAAAAATAGCCAAATGAGTGTAAGTAATTGATTTCTATACCTTGTACATCTATTCATTGCAGTTTCAGAACATTTTAATATGAAAAAAAAATTACAGATACAAAATAAAAATTAAATAATTATATACTTAATTTATTTTTAAGATAAATTAAGTATATAATATATTCAATTTTTATATTGTATTGTATTTTTGTAACTTTTCTTTCATATTTTATTTAACTTAATTTGTTTTAGGCTAATTACAAGACATTTTGTATAGATATTCCAACTAGCAATCATTTTTTTTTATTTGCTGGTTTGTGAATGTTTACCTAGCAATTATAACAAACCTACTAGCAAATTGCTAGCTTGCTAGTGCGAATTTCGAGCCCTTATATATATATATAAAATAGTAAATACAATAACAAATAGATAATAGTTATTCATCACTATTATAATAAAGCACACCTATGAAACAAAGACCAGTGTAAATCTTAAACATCTTAAACAATGCTCCTCCAAAAATACTTAATTCGTTAAAATATCATGCTCAGGTAGTTAAAAATCATATAAAATTACCTAATTTGGCTAGCGCCCCTCGCCTAATCATCAAGCCCCCCCCCCAATCTTAAGACCCCTAGATACTCCATTGCTTTAACGACAATAAAAAATCTCTAAAGATATAGAAGAAGCCCATCTCAAAAAGAAGCCACTACAGTAGAATCTAGTTTTTACGTACCCCAGTTATACAAACCCTCGGTTTTTACGTACGCCTCGTATCGACGATAACGTCATCAAAAACCCTGAAAATATTCAAAACAAACGGTCCTTTTCAGAGCAACCATAAGTAAAAAGACTAACAATAAACTATAACAATAAACAAACCATAATGCAACATATTTTCATTAAACAGCAACGTTGATTGAGTCTAATACCAGGTTGTTATAATCTGAAACCACTTGAACTGAGAGAGATGAACAACTAGCGATGGTGCTCAAAATAATTGCTTTCCTCCTTAGCTTCGTGTGGAAGACTTGTCTGGTCAAATTTTCTACACAAAGCTGAGTAGTTATAGTTTTGTACACTAATGCTAATTGGCTGGCTTGCTCAGTGCAGTGCATGTGGTTGCTGTTTCACGTACACAAACGCTAATTGGTTGGCTCGCCCAGTGCAGTACACATGGTTTTAGTTCGTCTCAGCAGGCCCAGACAACACCACAGGTCTGTTGTTTAGAATAGCCATAAAGGGGAATTCCCAAGTTATACCTTTTGTCGTATAGGTAATCTTACAATATTTTCATGTTCTTTAGTTAAATAAAAGATATAAATTGATGAATTAATACACTAGACACATGGTTTTATTTGAACACTTTAATATGACATCGTAAAGTGATGAATAAAAACACTAAACACATGGTTTTATTCGTAGGCCTAGAGGTAAGGTCTAGCCTAGGTAACATCATTTAGTTCATAACATATGTTTATTGAGCGTTACGTATGTAGATCAAAGATTACCACAAACTTAACCCAACCTCAATTTTACGAATCCCTGATTTACGTACGCCCTCCGGTCCCGTACCATATGTAAAATCAAGGTTCTACTGTATTTAGTTTGCAAAAATTATTCTCGAAATATCAAGATAGTATGGGCTTCTTTTCAAGATATTTTATTTTTAGTCAAGAAAAATAAAATCAGTCAGATGCAGGGATTGAATCTAGGACCCTATTTTTGGATAGCAAAATATCTTCAATTACAGCTCCTATATAATCCGTATTTTAACACTAACAAGCATTTGAGGTTTTTTTTAAATGTTTTCATTAATATGTCCAACTGGTTTCCTTTTCAGAAGAAATAACTACTGTTCCAGGTAAGCAAATTTCAGTCATTTAGAACATTCTACTCAAAAATCCAGAGAAAGTTTTTCGGTATTCTACAAAATTCATTGATTTTCTTTTTTGCATGTTGTCTGTTGGTCAGTGGTTAACCTTTCAACTGACTTTTATACCATAGACTATGTTCTCAAAGCATTATTATGGTCCTTTTTTTTTTCTTGTCGAAGCCTTAAGACACTCAAAGAAATTTAGGCTACCCACTAGTTTGCAGAACTTCAGATTGATGCTGTTGGCCAGACTAAAATGACGTACAATAGGCAGTAATATATATTCTGGTGTATGTAAAAATTTTAAGTAGGAGTTTATAGTAGGATTGCCCCATATTTAGCTCGTATAATGCAGATTTTAAAGTTTGTTATTAATATTTCATTGTAATTGACAGATATTTAAACATTTTTGTTTTTATTTGCAGCAGAACTATCAACTGCTACACCAGGTAAGCAATTTAATTCATGTTTTATGAATTCATGAATTCCAACAATTTAAACAATACAATAAAGTACAATACAATATTTTATGCATACACATATGCAAATGGGTGGAGACCACTTATAATATACTGTAGGGGCTTGAAAAATTTAAATACAATATGCCAGAAGGCAAGCTATAAACCTTTTACAATGAATAATCCATAGAAAATGTAAAACAGTAATATATTGAAGTTAAGGTGGGTGTACAGCAAATGAGGGTGGTTCTGAAACAAGTACATACTTAGAGGCATGTATATTATTATTAAACTCTTTCATTTTGAAGTTGAAAAGAGTTTGAGTTGGGTATTTATTTTTTTAGAGCTTTCAGCAACGTTGTGTTGCTTTTGTCAGCTGTCAAGTGATTTTTTTCTGTGGTCACTTGAATTTGTATGATCATGTGACAAATTTTAAATTGTCAGTAATTCCTGTCTCCTATCTCTGTCCAAAGTATAGGGTCGCATAGTTTAATTTCAGTCGCTTTTCATTTTTCCTCCACAACAGTTGTCTTCTTTGCAGACTTCCAACACCTAGACCTAAAAAATTGGGAGACGGGAGAATTTGCAGGTGAAGGGCACCCCCATTCCCATCAATTAGTGAAAAGCACCCTCAACATCGAAATATTCTGATAGCATTAACATATTTTGAGGTGTATAAATGTAATTTAAAAGATACCTATGGTTTTTCATTCATGTGGCCTAGTAATTTCTTCAGTTTCACTGTGCAATTCCCATGTTTTTTTAAGGGCCGAATGTTAAATGAGGGGGTTGTACTGTAAGTACAACAAATCTAGGCCTAGCCTAGTCCTAGATTTTTAAATTCGGGAGAACTTGAACAAATTAGGGAGACCGGAAGATAGCATGTAAATTAGGGAGACTCCTGATCGAATCGAGAGGGTTGCAATATTTGTCTTTGCTGAAGATGTTTTTTTACAATTTTCAGGACCTTAATTCACCGAAAATAATGTAAATACAGAATTTACAGACATTTTGGAGGTAATCTTGAAGAAATTGAAGTATGGTATAGCAATTATTATCTATAATGTGCAGATAATTCCAGATTAATAATCAGATTGTAATTTTGGTCATTTATCTCTCTGTTTTTTTTCTGTTTTAGGAGAAGCTGGCAATGGTACAGAAGCTGCACCGGAAAAGACAGGTATTTTTTGATTGCTTTTTAAATTGTCATCAGCTTTCAATAAATTAAGTCTGTAATATTAATTTTCAATCAAATAATATATAATATTATATCAAAACATTACAAAATGCAAGCATATCCAATTCTACCAAGAGTTAGCAAGAGATTTCACCCCACGTTTTTCGAGAAGGTTTGATCTCCCCGATACTGGACCTCCATTTTAAGTCCTTATCCGAGAAGACTTGCCTCTACCAACCGAACCATGGGCAAGGAGCGGCTGGAACCAGCGCCGATGTTAAGGCTGTAGCTAGTGGCGCCCCTGTCATACTGTTCGGCCACTCAACATGATCGACAAATAATGGATTCTCTGTAACAACTTGTAGTATCTCAGAAGTGACATCTAGGTTAGCTTTGTGACTTTAGATGTGACTATCATCTATCTCAATTTCTGGTTGCCACAGATTGATTATATTATTCTGGTAAATTGGTAATTTCATCTGGGAAGGTAAGGCAAGACTAATCTTGGTTAAAATGATCTTTAAAGTGCTCACAAAATCCAGAACATTTTTATAAGCTTTGGTACTTTTCTTATGGCAACATTAGCTTTCCTCCACAGATAAAATAATTTCTAATTTGACATGCTCCATTTAAAGCTTGCATACAATACTCTTTCCGTAATTCCTTCACCCTCACCTTGATTGCTTGCTGCATTGTCTTATGCTCTTCTTTTTTTGTTAGTAGATGCACTTTTGTTAATATCTTTCTCACCTTTATTAGCTGTTGTAGCCTTTTATCAATATCCCAGGGATGAACATTTTGTGAGTGCTGTATAATGCTCAGTTGATGTAGCGGTTGACTTTGCAGAAGTAATTTCATAAAATTCATTTCCAGTCTTTGTTTTAACATTTCTCACCATACCTGCCAGCGCTACCGATCTACACGGTAGTCTACCGATTTTCTCACTTTTCTACCACCTACCAAATTACCAGGCTGTTCCTACTGATTTAAAAAAATTTGAAAATCAACATTTTATGCTAAGTTCTCAATCAAAATATTGTGTTCGCCGTCAGAATGATGCGCTACCAAGCCTCCACACACTCATATATTGAGGTAAACAAACAGCACCACCAGGTGTCAACTGGTGTTTTATAGTCTTTGTACACTAGACATCGCAAGCTATATTATTTTTCGGCGTCTGGTTGAGTAGCCTGTGGTAACTTGCGTGTGTGTGTGTGTGTTGAGTTGCCTAGTTTTGAAATGTGGGATAGCAAGCCACTAGACGAGGCCACGATCTGTCTGATCCTTTTTCTCACAATGAGTAAAATAAAATCTGTGCATGTAAGGTGGGATAACAAATTTAAAGACCAATGGACTGCAGACCACAAATGTATTAAGTCATCAAAGAAAGGTCAGTTTCATGCCTTTCGTGAGAACTATAACAATGATGTTACCAGACATCGCAAGCTATATTATTTTTCGGCGTCTGGTTGAGTAGCCTGTGGTAACTCGTGTGTGTGTGTGTGTGTTGAGTTGCCTAGTTTTGAAATGTGGGATAGCAAGCCACTAGACAAGGCCACGATCTGTCTGATCCTTTTTCTCACAATGTGTAAAATAAAATCTGTGCATGTAAGGTGGGATAACAAATTTAAAGACCAGTGGACTGCAGACCACAAATGTATTAAGTCATCGAAGAAAGGTCAGTTTCATGCCTTTCGTGAGAACTGTAACAATGATGTTACCCGACATCTAGCTACAGAAAAACACAAGGCAAACAGCAGGGTGGTTAGCAATACGATTATCAACATGTTCACTCCCTTAGCACAAAATAAAGCTGTGATAAACGCCAAGAGTTTCTAAGAGCCTGCATTTTTCCAATAGCTACTTATTCTTTGAGACTTGGGTCCTTCGGAAAGCAGATGAGCAGAGAATTACTGCTTTTGAGAACAAGTGCTATCGAAAGGTCTTGAGGCTTTTGGTACGATAGAGAAGGCAACAAGGATTGCACAGAATAGATTTGTATAATGTTGCTATGACAACGATGAAGATAAACGCCAAAGTAATATTCCAGGGTTTTGTAGTACAGCAAAATTTGCCGCTTGCAGCGAACGACCACTTTTCTAAGTTGGTTGGTAGAATGTTCCCCGGTAGTGAAATTGCACAAAAGTACTCATGTGGTCGTACGAAGGGTACCCATATTGTCTGCATGCTAGCATTGGAATTGATTTCGCAGATTAAACGAGAGGTAGCTGAAACAGCGATGTATTTGTTGGCAACAGATAGACGTAGTAGTGATGAGGAGGATACATTCTTTCCTGTTCTTATTACGCATGAAGACAAAACTACAGGTAAGGATTAAATTTAATCACCATCATTTTTTTTTTCTAGGTTTCTAATATTTTAATTTTTCTAGGTAGCAAATAAAGTATTCATGTAAATTCATCAAAATATTTATAATGAATTACAGTTAATTAATCTTCATGTATTTTGTACTGTGTTCTTTAGGTCTGATCACAACTTCATTGCTTGACATGCCTATGGAAAATGAAGCCAGTGGCAAAACATTGCAAATGCCATGAAGCAATGCCTGACAGATGTAGGGTTGGATATGCAGCAGTGTTCGGCAAGTTATGCTAGAATATACATCAATGTATATGTATTATTAGTATACAATCATTGTTGAAGTCTTGTACTAAAATATTTAAAAAATACAGTAATGGTTGTAAAAAAAATATTTTGATGCAATTTAATACAAAGTAAATTTGCTGATGGTGAAAACACATATAATGGCCCAATAGGAAAGATGTGTATTTAAATTAAATGTGATCTTACTGTGCAATTTAATGTATATTCATGTAGAGTATCCTGTCTTGCTTAGTGAATCCTTCTATGCTTCAGGAGAGAGGAGACATTCTAGGAGTGGACTTTAACAATCCAGAGGTTCAGAGGGACGACAGGGAGCTCTTCCTTGGATTTGGAGCGATGCAGCTTATTAACAGAAACAACTTAACTGGCACTTGTGGAGTGAAGAAATTCAAATTGGAAGTCAGAGGGTTCTACACTAATGTGTTAAGTTACATACAAAAGATGTTCCCTCTTTATGACAGCATCATTAAGAATGCAGTAGTAATCGATCCTTTGAAAAGGCAAGAGGCATCCCTGAATTCTTTGCTGGAAGTTGTTGGCCAGCTGCCAAAATGTGTTGCTCCTCCTATGGATTCAAGATAGGCATTGTGTAGAGAATTCTGCTGTTATCAAGCTGCTACTCCATCCGAGCTCCCTAAGTATACCATTTACCGCATAGATGCATTTTGGGAAGCTGTCTATCAGATCAAAGACCCTCAGCCCTGGGTCAGAGAGCTTACTCAAATTTGTGCCGATTTGCCAAACACCTGCTACTTATTCCTCACAGTAATGCTTACTGTGAAACACTTTTTTCATTGATGAAAAAATAACCACACATACAAGAAGTTCGCTGGGAAGAGGCAAACAAGGGCATGCTAGTGTGACTGTTTACAAGGATACCCTACCATCATAAACACTCTGTGGACTTTCGGCAGGCAAAATAAACATTTTTTAAAAAGATCTGATATGGTATGTCACTCCTGGTCACCAAGTGATGACTTGTTAACAAAAGCCAAGTCAGCTACTTGTACCAGGCACTATCACTGCAAAAGTATCAGTCTGAAAAGTTGCAAAAAAGAGGCCTGACTGTAAAGTGGATTTTCAATTATTTTGTAAAGAATATTACTGTTGAGTATGTAAGACTCAGCCATGGTCTACTCTATATGCCTCTGTTCACCCACACAACATGTTTTTTCTGTGTCAATAGTCTAGAGGTTCTGATGAATAAAGGGTTTCTTTTGAAAGTTATTAGTTTGTTGACTTTTTTCAATGTTCACTGATAGTAGAAATTTCACTGACTAAAGAAAACCAATCTTATACGCACTAATATTTCATCAGACCATAATCAGACAGGACACAAATGTATCAAAAATTGTTGTAGTGACAATGCTTTGTTATGCTTCTCAAATTGATCATCTTCTGAGCTCCTGAATTGGCTGCATTGACAATGCTTCAGGGGGATTTGACCTTGACCAGTTTACATTTATGTGAAGTTGGCATTGGCTGATTGGCATTTATGCGAAATCTGCCTGCACAACAAAATCGGCAGTGTAAGGGTTCAATATTTTTACTTTTTCTGGTTTGTTTTTTTGGGGCACATGCATACAGTATAACCCTCATGTGAGATTGCACCTGAGCCATGCATCTTACTTCCTACATACACAAGACATGATGTTATGGTTTGCTTTAATTTGAATGAGGGTGTCATGTAAGCAATCAGAGATAATAGCCTAATCTTGAGGGTGCAGCCATGTTTTGGTTAAAATGCATATCAAAGGCAACAATAATAGGCTTTGCTTCACTGAACTCTGCCAAGACAGTAGCATATACAATACTAGATTGGGGCTAGCTATGGGCTGTAAAAAGCACTATATATCTAGCTTCACTGATACATATAAGATTAAAATTACATATAGTACAATAGTGTTGCAAGTGCTCATAACAATATTGGTAGTAAAATCAAGTCAAAATGTGTACTTAAAACCCAAAATGCAAGATTCATAAGTAAAATGGGAGCAACATCAAGCTCCTCTGGCAACACATTATCTCCATTTTGGAGTTTATTTAGTGCTGAGTGTACCTCAAATATAATTTGTGAAGAATACATATTTGTTTTTAGTAAAACATTTTCAACTAGAAATTAATAAATGTTGTATGAAACCAATTTAATATTACTGATTTTGGTATTTTGATGGGAGTCTGAAAATGCCAGGAAAATTTAGTGATCAGATAAATTAAGGTCTGTAGCAACCAATATCTCTGTATTGGAATGAAATACTGTAAAGCAAAGAGGATACTCAGCCAAGAATTTGGTTGAGCTGCCATGGAATGACCTACCAAGTCCCAAGCCCCAAGTCCTGGCACTTTAAGCTCAGTAGATTGCTAGACAGCCCAAGCCATTGTAGCTGCACTGGAGCTGAGGTCTGCTGTAGTGTTCCTCAGTTGGACAGTGGTGGAAGGTTATATCTTATGTAAAAAAAAATCCTAAGATCTACTAAAAATCTTTCATAAAAAAACAATATCCAAGAACTTATCTGGAATTGCCCAAATACTCTTCATACTTGATCAGTACTTTTGTATCTCAAAGCAGATCCATTCACTGTTAAAATGCATGAATAACATTATATGTTTGGATATTTTTTTATATTTATAGCACAGAAAGTTTCTACTGGAGGGATTGTTGGAATAATTATAGCAGTAATATTACTATTAGTGCTGATTCCTGTTTTAGTATGTAAGTATTTAAAATTTATTATTGTTTATTTACACTTCAGTATAATGTTTTCTTGAAATATTATGTCAATTTTTTGGAAATATTTAAGTCATAATCTTAAATTATCAAGATCTGGAACATATTAGAGTATAACTCCATTATGTAATTTTATTATGTAATTTTTTTTATGAGTTTCTATTTGTTTTTGTTTCTATTCTGTAGAATTGCAAGACATATAGTTGTATGTTAATTTTTTTTGTAAATTATTAAAATGTGTATGGAATTATTTTTGTCTGAACTAGTTCACCAACAAAATAGTAATACATTTGGGCCTACAGCAGTCACATTTCAATTCTATTTATCTTCTATTTCCACAAGCTCTCAAATATATTATCTGCAAAAATACAAAAGCAGTATATATCAAATGGATACATTTAAGTATATAGATACGTTAGCCCCCAATCAATTAAACTGAATTGTCGAAGAAGTTTAAAACAGGCAGTTATTGGGAATTTGAGAATAAGTCAATGCTCTGTTTGTATCGTAGTAGGTGCAGTTCTAATTTATCTAGGAGAACATTAAATAAGATTAAGCCTGAAGAAGTATGATAAATTTATTGAGAAAGGAAGAAGTGCGGATTTGGATAGGTGGATAGTTCAGATTGTGTTGAAATTTTTAATTTTAATTTTTAATTTGTTCTCAAATTAACTTTTACGTTAGTTGTTATTATCAGTGTAATCTAGTAATTAATGTTAGGAAGGTTATGTGTAATTATCTTTTTTTTCTGTTTTGGTCTTATTGTAAATTTTTATTTCCTAATGGAAATATGTTGTAATTGTTTCAAATGTTTATTATTAGGTATTATTTTTCCCCTTTTTATTGTTTTTCTTTTTCATAATGTTTATTTTAGTTACCTTAATAGTATTGGGCTATTTGCCATACATTTGACTGGCAGTATATAATAGCCAGTAGAAATCATTATTACCTGATGATGACGTGTGACAAAACATGTTCCTATTAGGCCTATCATATGATGTATTATCCATTAGTGTTAATTTTAGTATTGTAATCTCCAGTGTTTGTTTAATTTTTTAGTTTTCTCTTTTTAGTATATTTTAAAATAAAAGCAGAATGGGGAAAATTCAACTGGGGTTTTAGTTTGAAAATTATAAATTAATTAGATTAAAAATTATAAATTGATTGATAATCAAATATTTATCCTTTCATTTATGCTAATGCTGATAACTGATTTTTTAAAAATTATATTAGATTGCTGTAAAAGAGGTGGTTATCGACAGATTGAAGAAAGAGGTACAGTATTTGCTTGAAACATGATTGTTTACACTATACGAAATACTATAAGAACTTTATTGCAATCTCTCATTCAAAATTGAAGTTTAACAAAAGGGGAGAAAAAACATTAAAAACAATATCACAAACACACCAAACACATAAAGAATAGAATAAATCTACAATAAGGCATTACAATTAATTAGGAAACCTTAAGTTAAGAATTCAAGTACAAAAATAAATTTGTACTGTACTAAATCCACTTGCCCTAGCACCATCCTCTGTACTGTACTAAAGTGTTACAATAATTGTTTCACAACTGTTCACAACCTTTTCAATATTGGCAGTGAGAGCTGCAGTTTTTCTCTGACAGATGGGCTATCGAGAGATGTGCTAGAGTACACACTCACCTCAGCCTCATCACTTCTAGGTGCCGGGTGGCACTTTCAGGCCAAGAAAATGATTAAAAGTGGAATAATTTTGAAAATTAGAAGTTAAAATGAAAATGATTGGACATTACCACTATCTAAGTGTAGGCCTATTGTATTGACATTGGCCAACATACTGTACAAATAATAATGCACCACCCAAATAATGCCACTCCAAATGTAACAATCAAAAACAGATGTTAGATGATCTTTCTTTATGAATTGCCAATATATCATTAATGATTTTAGCCTAGAGTTGGCCATTTTTTTTATCTAATTTTATTGTTTATCAACATCAAGGAGCTAAAACTACGCTCAAGGAAATGGAAAATGTTCAAATTTTCCTGGCGACTGGGCCAGCCTTCTCCTATTATTTTGGTCTAAAAGCACAATTTTGGCCATACTAAGTTATAAAAACTCTGCCTGTGAACCCTACCAGACCCTGACTGACGCTTATAGTCAACCCCTTGGTTTGCACCCCCTGTCAGCAAATGTCTGGAACCTACCACTGGGTTAACACAGATTATCAATACTATGATGAAAATTCCAGACTGAATTGCTGTCTATCAGGCACTGAACAGCTTTATTCAAAGAATGCCTGTTTGACAGTCATAATAAAAAAAATAAGAAAACTAATGTTCTTCAAAACCTGTACTTGTTCATATTCAATTTATTTCTGATAGATGAAGCTGCTACTGCTAATAATGTCTCTTACACTCCAGTAGAAGCAAACGGTGAGTGTTTATAATACTTTTATTCTCTTCTCGATAAATATTAACATACATTAACAACGTTTGATTTACCCAGTATTGCATCTCAAAATGTGACACGTTTTACACTAATTGTGAGGCATTTCCACAAATGCATCACAAAATTGCGACACAATTATTTGCCTAAAATTAACTACTCGGTCTTCAGCAAGGCCTGACTGTAAAATCCAAGTGGCTTGTTGCATAAAAAAGTCCCGATTTTTTTTTGTTTTTTGAAACAGTCAAAGTCAAGTTGTTATCAAATGTTTTGGGCCAAAAATAGTGCAATATGCTTGTTTACATCGATTTCACACATACAATGCTCCCTACATGTACATAAACCATTGTTTTACTTATGTACTTTTAGTGTTAGAAAATAAGATGCATCACTGTGATTTTCTTATTGAAAACTGTCATTTCTTTTCTTTAATAATCATTCATTATCACCGCAAAAAAAAAAAATGCTATGCACAATTTTGGAATTGCTACACAACACAAAAGGTGCATAGCAGGTTTTGCTACACATAAAAAATGCTGGAAATCGAATGCTGTGCATTAAGTTTGTAAATATTTTTTGTATTGATCTTTTTATATAAATTCCAATATTTCCTTGTAAAATTATATTGATAAATTAAAATTATAATTGTATATATGCAGGGTTGTAGCTGTAGAAGTGTGGGTGATAGGCATTTTTAAGGATGAGTGGGTGATCATGATAAACTCTAAATAATATGAGTTGATTTTAAGGATGGAAAATTGCATTAATAAGGGTGGGTGGAAGGCCATGAAATTAGCTTTAGACTGGGTGGAAAACTTCAAGGCTGGGTGGCCTCGCCCATCTCGGCCCACCATAACTACATCCCTGTATATGCAACTGAATTGCTGTCTATCAGGCACTGACCACAGCTTTATTCAAACAATGCCTATTTGACAGTCATAATAAAATAATTTAAAAAACCAATGATCTTCAAAACCTGTACATGTTATTCATATTCAATTTAATTCTGATAGATGAAGTTGAACCTGCTATTACTAATGATGTCTCTCACAGTCCAAGAAAAGCAAACGGTTAGTGTTTTTTTTTTTCTTACTTTAAATCTCTTCTCGATAAATATTAACATACATTAAGTTTCAAGTATCTGTTAAATCTTTTTTTTTTTTGGTATTTAAATAATTAAAATTTGTTGAAAATTAGAGGTTGCAACCAGGACCCCCCCCCCCCATAGCAGTATTTTCTATGGGGAGGTGTGTTTGCCAGTGAAGGTGGCCCTTAGGTTTGGGGATGGGGTTGAGGGGCAGAGCCCAGGTGGGGTCTGGGAGATCAACGACTAGGAAGCTCTAACAAATTAGCATTTTGATGTCCCTTATTTAATGGATTTCTGATAGTGTGGGTGATAGGCATTTTAAGGATGAGTGGGTAATACTAATAACATCGTAAACTCAAAATAATATGAGTGGATTTTATGGATGTAGAAGTAGGTTAATAAGGGTGGGTGGAAGGCCATGAAATTAGTTTTAGACTGGGAGGAAAACTTCAAGGCTGGGTGGAGCCCCATCCACCTCTGCCTACCATAAATACATCCCTGTATATGCAACTGAATTGCTGTCTATCAGGCACTGACCACAGCTTTATTCAAACAATGCCTATTTGACAGTCATAATAAAATAATAAAAAAAACCCAATGATCTTCAAAACCTGTACATGTTATTCCTATTAAATTTAATTCTGATAGATGAAGTTGAACCTGCTATTACTAATGATGTCCCCCACAGTCCAGGAAAAGCAAACGGTTAGTGTTTTGTTTTCTTACTTTTAATCTCTTCTCGATAAATATTAACATATGTTAAGTTTCAAGTATCTGTTAAATCTCGTTTTTTTTTAAATTTAATTAATTAAAATTTTTTTTAAATTAGAGGTTGCAACCAGGACCCCCCCCCTTCCCCATAGCAGTATTTTCTATGGGGAGGTGTGTTTGCCAGTGAAGGTGGCCCTTAGGTTTGGGGATGGGGTTGAGGGGCAGAGCCCAGGTGGGGTCTGGGAGATCAACGACTAGGAAGCTCTAACAAATTAGCATTTTGATGTCCCTTATTTAATGGATTTCTGATAGTGTGGGTGATAGGCATTTTAAGGATGAGTGGGTAATACTAATAACATCGTAAACTCAAAATAATATGAGTGGATTTTAAGGATGGAGAAGTGGGTTAATAAGGGTGGGTGGAAGGCCATGAAATTAGTTTTAGACTGGGAGGAAAATTTCAAGGATGGGTGGAGCCCCGTCCACCTCTGCCTACCATAAATACATCCCTGTATATGCAGTATTAATTATATTTTTGACCTTTTTTAATTGAAATTCTTAATCCAAATATTTGGATTTTTTTGTTGTTGCATGAATTGAAGTGCTTATTCTTCTTTGTGATTTGGTTGGTGTATTGTCCTTTTTGGAGCGCATTTTTGAGATAATGATTTAGTTTGCTTTTAAAGCAATCCTCAGGCCCTGGTTATGTTACCACTACACTGTATTTTATATTTTTTGTTTAACCTTTTTGAAGTTTATGTATGTCTATATTGTGTGCGCCAGGAAATAAATAAATAAAATAAAAATCAACAGTAAGAAGCGCTGGCAAATGAATTGCAATGATGCATAGCATTTTGCGATAATTTCGAACGATTTTACTGAAATAATAGGTTTTAAAAAATAGACCTTTTGAAATTGGGAGGAGAGGGTGGGTTGCATCTGCATATAATTATATAAGGGAGGGGACAAGAACATATTTTGTTATTTGACCATATTTTGTATGTTGAGTAATATAAATTTTTTTAACACAGCTATATCAGTTGTATTTTTTTTTCTTATAAAGTGATGAAAGAAAAAAGATGTTACCCATAAGAAAGTAACTCACAGTTGTGTATACTATTTGTACATAAACCATGGGGTTCACTGATATGTTTGACTTAAAGATAGTATGAAACAAACTCCTAAAAAAGTGATACAAGCCATTATTGATTCTATATTTCAAACTTTATTAGTTCATCTTCAGGAATATTTGTACATAATTCTATAATTACTTTTTTTTTGTTCAGAGATTATAAACACAATTACTCTATGTGTATAAATTTAGAAAATATCACTTCAGTGAAAAGGACGAAGAATATAACGGTTTATCTCAAAAACATAACAAAGTTGGCAATGTACATTGTGCATTATTTTATTATTTCAACATTTTAAAGACAAATGTATAGCATACGTTTATTCTTGGAGGTCAAACACACTTGGATTGGATTTGTTCGCTGTAGACACCATGTATAGCCCATGGAAGTCTAGAAGAAGACTTATTTCCAGTGGGGTCCTTCTGGTGGTGATTGGGTAGTACACCGGGAGACAATCCCTTACTCTTTTCCAAAGAGTTTACTGCGTTCTTTAACGTGCACATGGGCCATAAATGCACACAGGACCAACGGCTTAAACGTCTCATCTGAAAGATGGTGCGCTATTGTAACTTGTATTTCAGCCCTCCAGCTGAAACACAAGGAGAGGCAGCGATAGGAATTGAACTGAGGACCTAGAGATCTCCACGGTTCAGTGCACACATAGTGGCTACCACCAGATTAGCCGACTGAGCTAAGCTTCTCACTTGTCATAAGGTTCGCTTTATAAGGTTTATTCTTTAGGTTACTAGTCATAATGTCAGCTTACTCTATATCAGAGGGTCACACTAGTGATAATCAAGAAAATGGTTCGCTTTCATAAAATATACAGACCACTATATATTTCTAAGTTTCACAAGTCATAATAAAGAAGAAAGTCCTAAGAAGGACTAGTCATAATTTTATAAAAGGATTTATAATTATATGGTTCATTAGTCATAATCAATAAAAAGGGTTCGCTAGTCATAATGTAAACAAAGGATCGCTATTCATAAGGTTCGCTAGTCATAATATATGGCAAAATGAGGTTCGCTAGTCATAATAATCCTCATTTTTTACCTCATCAATAATGGCCCTTATGACTAGTGAACGATATGAATAGCGAACTTTAATGGGCCCCATTATTTAATTCGTTTTTTAATTGTTGTATAATTCTTTTTTCTAAACTAAAAAAAAAATGTGCTTGAAACATTTTGTGTGCTATCTGCAAAATTTCATCAGACAATGAACTGTAGATGTTTTTTAGTTCTAGTTTCTAGGTAGAGTGTGACCTCTTATCATTGTTGCCTGCATTTGTCGTTAGCCATATAAGACTGCACTACGACACTGCAACTGCTTTTTTATTGGACCATCAAAAGGTATCTAAAAAAGAAATAAGACAATCTACAAGAAAAACAGGACATTCAAAATTAGCAAACAGAAATTTAAAGGTGTGGTAAACGTCCCAAGATAGCAAAAAAATGTTTAAAGGTGTCCTGTATGTTAAAAGCCTTTCAGAGAAATTCAGAAGGATGCTGTTACATTTTACAACATAGGAGTTCGTTTCAAACCCATCAACAAAGAAATAAAATAGTACGTATATCCCAAAGATAAGTGCAGCAAAGTAGAGGTATGCGGTTTTATTTATCAATCGTCTGTGAAAGTTGTGACTCGAGTACATGTAAGTGAGACAGGCAGGCCTCTCAAAAAATGATTTAAAGATCACCAGAAAGGTTTAGCCACTCGCACTCAAGGACTTGGCATGTAAGACTTGCTTCTTCATAATTTTTACATAAATCTGCTATAGGGAGAAAAAGTCATGACATCACATTTCCTAGCTACCGGGTTCGCTGAGGCCAAACAAACCTTGATAGGCCATTTGTTGTATTCTAGTACTCAGCTGTTTTGTAGTAACATTTTAATATTGCTTTCTGTAACTTATATTGCATCTTCCTGTTTTATTTCGGAAAAACAGTGATTATTAAATAATCTATTTATCGTATATTGCAAGTTCACCTTCATTTTCGAATCCTAAGTTATAGAAATCAGCATTTTAAAATCTTCTGGAGCGTAGGCGTGGGCGTTGGTACACCAGACCATTCTGTTACCCAACTGGATGTAATAAATTGCCATTTCTTTCCTTAGTGTAAACTATTTATTACATAGAACATTCTAGAATTATATTTATTTGACCAAACAAACAGTGTAAACCACATTGCTAATTATAAGAACATAAGAGACCATGTGGAAGGTTCTAGATGTTGAAGTACTAAAAAGCAATTGCCTATTGGTTAATTATGATGTAATGTGACCAATGAGGAACTTAGGCAATATAGAATGCTCTGGAGTTCAAGGGCTAATGTATATAAGGTGAGAGCTTGGTTTTTCTGGGAGCTCTTTTTGAAACACATGTTAATGTGACTGTGGTGTTATTTTGAGACCAGATTCTTGTTGGAGTTTATACAGAATAAAAGTTTATTTGAGAGTTGTGTTAAAAACATTGTGAGCTGTCTTTGTATTTTATATGTCAAAGAGGGATTCCTAGTCATTTCTTTACCGCTCGGAAATATGTCAAGTAGGAATTCATGACACTGGACATCATTTTTACATAAATTTGGTATAACAGACCATTCTGTCACCCACAACCATATACTGTACCCAACTGGACAGGTGCTAAATCCTAGAAAAAGATGAAAATGCAGTGGGAAGAAAGAAAAATCAAAGAAGCCATTTGGATAGGAAAAAGACCACAGAGATGAAAAAGCCTACCAACTGTCACATATCTATAGAGTACTACAGTGTTAAGTCACGATACCATGTGATACTACTCCGTTGTTATCGTTGCAAAAAGCATACAACCGGACGCCATTTTCTTCACTGACAAATCATTGATCCCAATTTCTAACGTAATTATTAAGATGCTGTATCTTACTATTTCTTTTAAAATTTTAATTGATAATAAATGTGTGTTCGATAACTAGTATAATGCGAGCTTTTGTATTTTTAGTACATTTTGATGGTAAAATATTAGATTTTAAAATACCTATTCCAGAAAGCCTATTAAGTCATTCAGGCCTAATGAATGGTAACTAACGTCCGTTGACAACAGAGAGCGCCACCTGGCATCGTGATACGACTGTGGTACTCTATGACAAGCTGCTCAAATTCAAGAACACAAACAAAAAAAGCCAGGGGCCCCTGTAAATGACATGTCACGGGCACTGACGGTCCCACTCCACCTAGCAACCAGAACGGAAAAACATCTACAGTTATTACATGATGAATTTGTTCCTGATGTTACATACAATGTTTGGTTTGGAAAGAAAATAGATTATACTATACATCATATATTTATTCATTTAGAAATAATAATAAATTATAGTTGGTTGTACAATAGAATATATCATTTGTTTAAATTTTTGAAATGTGTTTATTCTTTATTTATAATTCAAGCCAATGAAATGCAGGCAGCTGGTGTAAGAGATGCAAATTCCCAGCAAGGTGATGAAGGTGAACAAACTGTCCAGCAAGGTGATGAAGATGGCCAATCTTCCCAGCACATTGACGTGCATCAAGAAGAGGCAGTCAGTGAGTTTATCCTACAGTATAAGATATAATACTTTTTAAATAATTAATAAAAATGTATGAAATATCAAAAGAGTTTTTTTTATTGAAAGCAAAAACAAATTGTTGTTTGATGAACTAAGCATTTTGTAAAAAAAATCCAATAATTGCTTACCTAGCCAGCTTAACGTTTTATATACATGCGCGAAGTTGCTAGTCAACAGATGTTAGCACCTTTATTATTAGATCGTATTATGACACAGCAGCCTACCAGGATGAGCAAGAATGGAGAATCTTGTAATTGATTGTCATCATTTCCAAAGCACAATTGAAAAAATTGAAAGAGAAGTACTTTGAATTAAAGTTTTTTTTTTCGTTTTTTTTTCTTACAGCCGTAGATGATTCTTGTGATTATACTCTGAAAGGTAAATGTTTTTGTCCTGTTTGTTCTTTGTAAGGTACCACTTATATTTTAGAATTTGTATTTAAATTGTATTCTTTCCATTCTCACCAAGGTCTCGTGTGTATTACATTATTGTACAGTAATATGCTATATGGGGGCGTATCCAAAGCTACTGTTTTCACCCCGGTTCTTCTTTATATTGTCGTCGTTATTGTATTTGATGTGTTTAAATACAAAACCAATGATTCAATTTGAAGTTAGATTTAAATCTCTCTTCATATTTTTTGTCAGTTTAACACAATAGACATTTTAAGTTATGCAGTAAGTTTTGTTGCAGTTCAGACCAATGCAGATTCGTAAAAAAAGAACCACATTTTCCGAAACTCAAGCAGTCCTGTATTTAAACGTCTTTCAGTCTAACTGGTGAAGGAAAGTAACCTTTTTAACCAGAATATTGAAATAAAAATAAAAAAACACCCATAAAACTTGATTTTAGTTTTATTACATTGCTATACGCAGAATTTATTGATAATTCTCACTAAGATTAAGATCGTCTGTAAGTAAGCCTGATCTTCTAGTGGGCCCAGTAGTCTGTCACACAGATGTTCAGACTTTTAAGTTATTTCAGCCATATCGGTGACTTTTGTTGCCACAACTTTTTTTACAAACAACCCAGTTTGTATTGTAGGCCGACCCCTGGGGCTCTAGGCCCAGCCTTGTGAGCGCAGCGATCAACTAGGCTAGGGGCCTGAAACTTTGCATTATCTTATATGATAAAAAATAAAATTGAAAAGTTTCACCATGCTAATTTCTATAACAGCCTGATATTTCACTCTTCTCTGGTTCCAAAAAAAGGTAATGATTTTATAATCATGAACCTCCAATGAAGGCATATTTTTAAATAGGTCTTAAAAGCAGGCTTGTTGTTCTATTTCCTGCAGGTATTTTCTAGGACGTGGGAATACGTAGGGCTATTTATGTTATCGCTTCTTTAGTGTTACTTTAGTCTATGATAGAATTTTGACGCAGCTAACGGTGCATCATCTGATTGTAGTTGTTGTCAAAGATAACAAACTTTTCACTTATGGGAGGTATATCATAAGGAAAACCCAAAAGTCAAAAATAATCGCGGTCACTCACAGGAGGTGGTGGCTAACGATACAGTAGTTATCAAATGCATTGATTAGGTAGGGAGAATAAATGGGACCATATGAGAGTGGAGGTGGTCGCATAGGGAGGTTAAACTGTATTATACCAGGGAAGAGTTAATTTACACACTTCTCTGATTAAACCAAATAATACTGTAATAAATTACAGTGTTTTTACTTGCTACCTCAATATGACGGGTAACCAGAGAGTTACCATGATAGTAACAAAATGTCTTTTATTTCAACTGATTATTACTGTACGTACAACAAACAAGATTTCACCGGGTCTGAGGCAAGGGTCACTCAGTTTACTCTATAAATCATGGTAAAAGGAGGGTACATTTCATACAGTATATTATATTTTTTCACATTGCAGATCATTTACTACTATAATCTGGATATTTTTTTAAAATATTTATTAATTTAAGGGGGTAGGAGTCAGGACCCTCTTGACCCTCTCTGGCTGTGCCTTTGCATGCCACTGCACCCCTCCCCTGCCCCTTTTCAGATTTTTTTCCCCCAATTTGCATTTTTTTTCCAAACTGAGAATACAAACTTCAGGTTGCCAAAACAAACCTATCGCACTGACATGAGCTGCGCAAGTGGCAGCTGGCATTGTGTAGTCGTTCTTTGACCGTATCTGACAGTGCTTTATATAACGATATATTCACAGTTATACATCTACAGAGGTGGATTGAGGGGGCTGTATGATATGAGAGCTACAAATGTCAGTGGCGTATCCAGGAATTCCTGATAGAGGGGGCCCAGGGAGAGAATAATTCTATAATTACTTTTTTTTTTGTTCAGAAATTATAAACACAATTCCTGTATGTGTATTTAGAAAGATGCCATTGTACATTCCGCATTATTTTATTATTTCAACATTTTAAAGACAACTGTATAGCATACTTTTATTGTTGGAAGTCAAACACACTTGGATTAGATTTATTCGGTGTAAACACCATGGACATGATAATAACAAAATGTCTTTTATTTCAACTGATTATTACTGTACGCACAACAAAAAAGGTTTCACCGGGTCTGAGGCTAGGTTCACTCAGTTTACTCTATAAATCATGATAAAAGGGAGGGTACATTTCATATATTCAATTGGGGAAAAAAATTCCGGCCAGGCTTAGATACCTCAGCTTGCATTGTTGGGCTGTAAAAAAATGGTTCACACTATGTTCCAGTCTTAGATGCAACTCGGCTACGGCCCCTGTCATTGTTTCAGGCGTATAAGTTCAGGCCCACCTTTTGCAGGGCCTTGCTATAGAGCTTAACCTTTGTCCTGCATCCTCTAACAAAAAAACAAAGGGAAAAAAAATTGTGGTTGAATAAATAAATTAAAATTAAATTAAATGATTAGAAGCAAAGCTTATTATAAGTCCCCTACTTTGGATTTGGATGAGGGGACTTTTTATGACTGTGAAATAATATCCTACTACTTTGGCAAATTATAGCTTTTATTTAAAACCTCTGGAAAAATTGGTTTACTACCGTGGTGGAGCTGAGGTAATAAAAAATCCTGGATCCGCTCTGCTTATCCAATATTCAGGGCACATAGTTTGATTTTTCTCACATGCTGCCTTGAATTGATTTACTGCTTCATTCAGGGACGGCGCCAAGAATTCCACGACGAGAGGTCGAGCTCCCCAACAAGGGGTCCACACACCCCCACCCCTCATCTAGCCCCCATCCCTGTCGGGGAAAAATAGGGTTGATTATTAAGTTAAGGTGCTCCCTGTCGGGGTACTAACCACCTGTTGGAAGTACCAGCCCTTGTCGGGGAAGATCGGCGGTTTCACCGCAACCCATACAATCACGATAATATACAACACCTGCACATACTGTAGCACTGCTCGCACTAAATAGTTTTCAATCCCTAAAATTTGACAGCTATAATAAGGCTAGATTTCATTTTTCCCCCGATGACCTTGATGGAAATTCCCCAATGGGGGTCCTTTGCCTCCTGGACCCCTCGCTAGCTTTTACAATCCTTATCTTCATGAAATAGCACTATATAAATACAGTAAATACTGTGATGTATGTATCTTCCAACTTCAGGTCTTGTAGTACATGTATTAAACTTGATTGTCCAACTTTTTTAGAAAAATTTCTAAATTAAAATTTTGCTCTATGGTTGTGAATAAGTATTTTTGGACAATAGATGATTTTCAATTTACAAATACAGAAGTTATCAGTATACAAGCGATTGTAATGGGTTTTAAATTTGGGGCTTGTAGTTGTCAAGATATGGGGTTCCTATAAATGGCAAAAAATCTGTTCACAAGCCATGTATAGTGAAGTATGCTTACAGTAAAATGAAATAGTATTATTTACTGAATCTACAGTGAAAGTTAGGCAGGTAAATAATTTTCAGCTTTGTAGGTTCTAGTAATTTTAAATATCCGAAAAAAATTACCTTGTTGGTTGTGCTTAAATCTTGTTTGTTCAAATCGGTTTTGAATTTTTCAAACCCTGAGAAATAAACAAAATTCAAGATGGTGACTTGTTGCTTTCTCATTTATTTGCAATAACTATTATTTGAAACAATTAAATTTTTTTTTATTCTGGAAATACACTTTCAATACTCCTAATTTGCAGGTCTTCCAAGAGGTCCATATTCAATTTTAAATATACATAAATAACAACAATGAAGGTAAAAAAAAAAACATATGTCAGATATATACAAATCAAATGGGTGACTTCCTAAATCCATTCAATGTACAGTAATTGTGTCAAACTTTATTGTTGCAAATTAAGATGATGAATATGTTAGAAGATTGATGTTTTGTATTTATTGGAATGCAGTATAGTAAATTCAATTGAAGAAATATATAGAGGAGTCTAGCATTTTGAATATCTAAATGGTATTTAGATAAAAAAATATGGTCATCCCATTTATCTTTTACCATTTTTCAATACTTACTGGTATCATTGTATCAGTATAAAATATGTGCACCGTTAGCCACTTGACCTGAACTGATTTAGATCTCTTATTTTCTTTCAGATGGTTCCACATTTAATGACTTTAAACTTGAAGTTGCTAATCAGCTGCCTCCGAAAACCAGGAATACATTTTATGCACGTCTTGGTCTGGAAAGATGTGAATACGAACGTGCAGAGGGTGATGAGCATGGTAATCTTTTGGACAAGATATATGCAGTTCTTGACATGTGGTTCGAAAAGAATGGTGGTCCACATGAAGCCAGAGTCCAAGAACTGTTATCTGTAATGTGGAAACACAATTTAAAAGAAACTCGAAGGCTCGTCATTGATAAATGTTGCGAAAGAAATGGTGTAAAAGCTGACCTTTAATCGAGTTTTCAAGTGTAGTACACATCTTCAGGTCTTAAATGGATCTGAAATCCAGAACTTTTAGATTCTGTGTAATGACAACAAAAGTTGTGCTGTATACCAGGTTCCTGATAAATTAAATACAGTACTTATATTAAACGATAGCAAATGATATATTAAACGATAGCAGCTGATTTTAAAGTATTTTTGAGGCGCATAATTTAATACTATTTTTCAGAATTCAGAAACAGAAAGACAGTTAACAATTGTTCATCTTGAAAGAAGATTTTCTTCAAATTTGAAACATCTAAATTTTGAAGTGAACTCAATTTAAATACCAAAATAAAAATTACAATGAATTATATCTTAGTACTATATCTCAATAACTCATTTTTCATGTTTGGTACATCAACTCATTTTGTAACACCAGAACATATTATGTTTACCTGGATGTTGCAAAAGAATCCGTCCGTATTTGATGATTAGAAATTTGTATTTTTGAAGTTTGCATTTCAAAACTTTTGTCCATAGATTTATCTGTCCATGGTATGATGTCCATTTTGACAGAATTTTGGTTAGGGCCTATATAAAGTAATATGTAGTAGAAAATTGTTGTCTTTCTTATATAGTAGTTTACAATAAACACTAAATGTAGGAGCGGTTGGCGCACCGGTTGTGGCTTGGACTCCCAACCTTGAGGTCGGGGGTTCGAAACTCTGGCTGTGCAAATCGCTTGTGTCCTTGGGCAAGACACTTTATCTACGGTTGCATCTCTCCACCCAGGAGTACAAGTGGGTACCTGGTAGGTTCCAACACAACCTGCGCTGATTACTAGCTGCAATTTATGGAATGATAATATAATTTCATTTACTAATTTAATTTGGTGTTTCAATGTGTTCCATATGTGTTTGATCCAATGACCGGGGTAGTAATGTGAAGCGCTTAGAGGCCTTGTAAAGGCATGAAGCGCTTTATAAGAACGACATATTATTATTATAAATGTAATGTAGTCAGACTTGATATAGGGCATTATATAAACATCTCGATGTGAATGTAAAGTAAGATAGCGGTAAGAAAAGTTTTATCTGAACAGGTGTGGGTGAATTTTGGATTTAAAGCCTAGTGCTGCACCCACACTTTGAGGTTTCCTGTGTGTTTGCAAAAACCTTCTTGCACTGCATGCTGCTTTATACTCATTTTTTGTTTTGTTTTTAGATGATTGGTTTGTGGCCGTAAAACAAGAGGGTTTCTAGCCAAAGATTTAGGCAAGTCACACACTGTTGTTGTGAGCCGCAACAAACTTGCATGTGAATGTGGCCCACTGGCAGCAGTTTTCCCTTGAACAATTCTATTGTAACCAAAGTATCAAAGAAGTTATGTAATCAAAATAGTTATGAACAAATCCGAGAAAAGACTGCCAAAAACAATACATTGTCTGCCCACGATTTAGGACCCAGGTGGGCAAAGTGCAGCCCATTGGCCGCATCACCCCTAAGTGTGCAACTTGTCTCTCATTTTTGGCTAGAAAACTTGTGTTCATGGCCTGACACCAATCTTCTGTAAAGAGTAATGCTTAGCGTATTCAGTGTTATAAAAGCAGTGCATGAAAGTTCTTTTAGAAATGGGTGTGTCCCTTAGGGTTAAATAGAGAATTCACTTGGCCCTCCGACCCATTTTTGTGCCCCTTTCTGATTTAAAAACATTAACGTGCAAATTCACGGATACGTCAGAATGCAAGGCAACTATGGGGGTAGCATTATCTGTCAGTGTGGTGTTGTAGCAATATTATAATTTGCCGATTTTGGTAACATTTAATGTAGGTTCACATCGAACTGTGGTAAGATAAATTAAGTAGTGGATCATCCACATGATCTGGCTATATGAACGCTTAATTATGGCATGGAGGAATTAATAATTCCTCCATGATTATGGCGAGATGACAATAACTGGACTAGATCTATTATGTCGACTAACTTCTTAATCCAGTGGCTTAGCCAGTGATAAGACAGAAAAAATAGCCCAGCGGGAGACCAAAAGCCATGGAGGCCAATTTTACTCATTGCTTACATTGTTGTAGACTTTCTTAATTTACAATTCAATTTATCTAGCTCTAACCATAGAGCTAACTGACCATTGAACCAATTAGTGATTTTAATTAAATTAGCTTTCCAAATGAGTGAGATGATATAGATATAAAGTTTATAACTTCGCTTTAAAGTCCTTTCTAGTTTGTCTTGTGTGAATCTGTTTATAGATTGTTGGATGCTGTGAATTATTAGCTGACTGACCTTGCAGAGTCAGGGATGGATCCAGAATTTTTTAAATGGGACACAACAGTTTCAGAATAGATACGCTAGTAACACATAACACTGATATACATTGAAATTTTAAAACTTAAATGTCAAAACTGGGGCAAACGTTCCTCACGTTGCTCCCGTTCCCCCCTACTGGATCCGCCCCAGACAGTAGACTGTGGTCAAACACTGCAGGTTTTTGTTTCTTTCTTTAGTGGTTTAGTTTATTTTAAGCTAATTATGAGCTTTGTTTTCTTTTCAATTATTTACAACCATTGTTTTTTTTTTTTTACAATTGTTATTATTTTGGTTTAAATTTACAGTATATGAAACAGTGAGGTGTAGGCAATGAGAATTATGCAGTATCATATCTTAGTCAAGGAAGGTCAAATTTTATAAATAACTGTCGTAGAAATACAAAATAGAATGGTGTTTTAGTGTATAAAATTAAATTGGTTTCATCACTGTATTTGACTATTTCCATGTCAATTAATAATGTTTATGATTGTACAAGGAAGGTCAAATTTGATCAATAAGTTAATGAGGTAAAATAACTGTCGTAGAAATACAAAATAGAATTGTAGTTTAGTGTATAAAACTACATTAGTTTCACTTTATTTAACTTTTTCCATGTTAGTTAACAATTTATACGATTATAATTAGAAATACCAACCAGAATAGTGTTCATTATTTGCATTCATTAGTATTGATAACCTATAAGAAAATCTTAACTCGTCTTATTCAAGCGTATTTGATAATCTACTATCATCATAAGTAAAGGATTTGAATTCAACCAGATAACAATGTACCCACATTCAGTATACTTTTGTCCAGTAATTTTAATATCCAGTAATTATTATGTATAAAAAAGTAATTTGTATAAATGTTGCAAAAAACCAAGAATATACTCAGATTATGTTAAACTAACAATGTGTGATTGATACTATTCTTATGATGTAGTTTTAGTTAAGTATATGAATCATGTGTTGAAATTTTAAAACAAATAAGGAGCATACTCAATTAGGTATTTGTTTGATATACAATATTTCCGAGCCTGAGAACAGTTTCTTTTATGATTGCTATGTCCATCATTAAGTATTAAGTAACTAAAGGAAAATATTTATTAGGTAAATATTTATTTGAAAAAAGTGATATGTAGCATGAAGCCAGGTCTATAATCAGATTTTTGTCAGACACAACAAGCCAGCGTTTGATGAGATGGTTCTTTACGAGCCTAAGTACACATTCATTTATGACTGTCATACATATTCAGTATCTATAGGGGCCATCCATTTATCATTTTCTTGGGAGTATAAAATATGGGAGGGTCAACAGTGAATGTTGTCTTTTATGAAAATGAAAAATATTATGATCAGATATTGACAACAGTTGTCATTGTGCATTCAAAAGAGCCTGTGCGATTTACCCTCTTGAAAATTAACAGTAATGGATAACCCAAAGTTTATTAGATAATAAAAGTTGGAGGCTTATTATTATCAGTAATACAAATAACAAAAATAAGTACAATAGCACTTTCTTTAGGCAAAGAAATTTATTGAAACAAGCTCTCGCTAGCTTGTGTTAGCTTCATCCGAAAGTACTACTGTACTTATTTTATTTGTATCTTTTAAGTTTATAGTAACTTAGGATTATTGCTACTTTAAAACCAGAGATGCTATGTTGGACTCAACAATGATTGTATAGTACTAAATACTTTGTATGATACTTTATTCAGACATATCAAAATAAACCAAGTCACTTTCCATGTGTTTTGGTAGTCAGACAATGCTCTATTTTGACAGACACAAATCTTAGTCTCTTGTTTATCTGAGTCTGTTGTTTGTATGTCTAACATACAGTTGGAAGCAAATCACTTTGCTGATGAACACTTAAAAAAATATATTGAAAACATTATATTGAGCAAATATGCATTTGTATTATGAAACTTTGTAGTGCCGACAGCTTAAAAATGAACTAAATTTAAAGAGAAATATAAACCATATTAGACATGTAATAAATGAAAGCAGGTAAAATGGTAGCACCTTGTTTTGTTTTGAAAGAAAACAAATTTAATTTTCAGTTTAAAAAATAATAATAGAAGGAATTGGTTTTAAACAGGACAAAATAATTTGACATCAGAAATTCAGAGAGATGTTGATGATTGAGATTCAAGGAAATGTACTTAAGAATAATTCAGTACGGGTTGATTTTCATTTATAATCGGGAGAAAGAAAGTAATTAAATTGTAATATATGTTGTAAACACTTGCATCTAATGCAAATATGTGAATATTTATCAATATTAAGTCATGCAATGCATGTATAAAATAATGCATTGAATATTCATTCCACTTTTTATTCAGTTTTATATGCATTGAATATTCATTCTACTTGTTATTCAGTTTTATTGTATATTTCATTCACATAAAAGAATGTAATTGAATAATATTTGTGTGTCTGTAAACAAGCTGCATATTTATAAACATTCTAACAATTATATTTTGATGAAGTGCAAGCTTTTAAAACAAATTAATGTATCTGAACAATGTTTGAGGGCAGTGTTAAGACACTGGAACTTATGTATAGTGGCAATTATTTGTGTAACCTCATTGCAACTGTGAACAGAAATACAGTACTGTACTAAAACTACTTGCATTATTATACTGTACAATGAGTTTTACGAAAGCACATTTAGAGTGGACCATACAATTTTACCAAGATGAGGCTATTCCACTTTAATATTGAATACTCAATGATTCCATGGAATGATTATATGTTAAGTATTTTTATCCAATTATAATCATATTCACATTTACAGTTTTCTAAATGTAGTATGTTTTGACACATTAAATTTTCATTAGAATTAGAGTATACTTGTTGCAATTCTTTCCAAGTTTTTAAAAATATGTTAATTGTTACACTATTAAAAAAGAGTGTATCCTACATTATTTTGTGTGTGGAAGAAATGTTTATTGAAAGTTGACGATACAGTACAATGCCCATGATGTATGCCATTAGCCTGCATATAGTAGACTCATAGTAGTCCACAACTATCTAGGCCCTATTTATATACAGTACTGTAGTTTGATAATTTAGCTTAATACAGTAGTTTGGTTAAACAAAAAACTAGCTTAATAGTGTTGCACTAGTAGTATCTACACGTCTACTATTGTTTTTATTTATTTCATTTTTATTTCATATCCAACATCGAAAAGCCAATTACAGGATGCCTTAAAGTAATACATTCTATAAAAACAATAATAATACAATACAAATATATTAATTATTAATACAATTATTATATTGGAAATTTTAAAAAGCCAATTACAGGATGCCTTAAAGTAATACATTATATAAAAACAATAAGAATATTGTACAAATAAATTATTAATTATTAATACAATTATTATATTGGAAATTTTAAAATGATATTGCATATATATAATAATACTACTATTGTTTTTATTTATTTCATTTTTATTTAATGTC